TCAACCTACTCGACCGACCATTCAGCCGACATCTCAAGAAGGCGACTCAAAAGGAGATAATTCTCGTTCTTCTACTGGACGAGTAGAAAAGTGACGACTACCTCCAGCCTTGAGCCCCTCCGTGCACTGATAGATGATCACCTTGTAATAAATATCATTAAATGCATAATGGACGCTATCATTTCTCTATCCTCTATAGTCTTTATGACACATCAGACCATTTCAGCACCGTACGTCTCCAGTCACTTCACATTAAATGTGAAAGTGACTTCCCCTCCACTCGTCGGTCGACACCTGTAAAGCAGATGCTGACTTGGCCGTCAGCTCATACTAGGTCGAAGTTACCATCCAATCACTATAAATATGGTCACTATTTTCAGCATAAAGGTAAGATCTTTACCTCTACCTATAGTGTTTAAGAACTTTTACAGTTTAGTTACTTCTTTACTCAAGCAAATCACTAACTTGATCATTAGAGGAATAACTGGAGAACCCAACTCTGGCCTCTTATGAGTTTTACTTGTGCAGGGAAGAGTACCTCACTTCAAAATTAGACATTCAGAGGGTTAGAGGACCTCCGTCAACCAAATAGCTTCTCTCATTGACTGTTTGATATCCTCCAACAACATGTTACAAAATGTTCTTATAGGGAAAATGAATAAAAAAATATGTATATGTGCAATACACTCAGCCACCTTAGAATTCCTGACCTCATGGCCACCCTTCTGGACATGTTCCCTTATGATTCTGGGATCGATGGGAGTGGCTTGAGACCTAATGACCAAGGGTTTCTTAGTTTCAGCCTGAGGCTCCGTGACCTGTGAATCCCACTTCTTGGTCAACACGGCCAAGTTAAGTTCGAGCTCCTTCTTCTGGCGTTGAGCAGTTTCAAGACGAATCTAAGCTGCAGCAATGGTTGCCTTAGCCTCATTGATTGTCGCATCTTTCTCTTAGATAGCACCTTAAAGCTCTACTTGATGATTGTCAACTGATGTAATACTATCGTTCAATCCTTGAACTTTTACCTTGATCCGCTCCATTTCTGCACAAACAGATTCTCCAGCCTTAACAACGAGTTTTCAAGTGACGATGAAATTCAATCTCAGCTGTACAAAGCTCCTGTAGCTCTCAAAAGTGGGACTCAGCTTTGTCAATCGCTATCTTGAAGGGTTCGGTATGAGCGGAACCGACAATTGACAATGAAAGGCCAAGTTGATCTCTTAACAGTTTAAGAGTGCAAACAGACAAGACTTTTTGCAAATGTAAGGCAGTCGCAACATTTCATGCTTAAAACACACTAAGATAATGCATATTTTACGTGTTTATCAACTCCCCCAAGCTTAGACTTTTGCTTGTCCTCAAGCAAATAGACAATAAAGAAAATAGGAGGAGTGGAAGCCAAATAGAGTAGGGATCACCCCCTCATCAATCCTTTAACCAATATCAAACATATCACAAAACAAATACTTTTCATCGGGACTTAACAAATTAATTTCCAAAACTCTCAACAAAATCACATTTCAAAATTTATTTACGATCACAAGCGTCACAAGTCAAGGATAGCCATCCTATCCAATTCTCGTCAAAGTAGGAAAAAGAAATTCATGTAACTAGCTTCAATCCCGAAGTACTAAAATTGAGACCTTCAGGTAGTTAAATTGGTAGACCTCACTTTAGGATAAGTGGACTCTCAATCTCTCATGTATTTAAGGATGGGATTGTATCGCTCAAAATTCTTCCGAATGGATGTATTCAATCCATAAGCTTGCATTTCATCTCAATTCTCCACCACTTCGAAAACTAATGCATGCAACAAAATCATGAGGTCTTTTATTTGGTTGTAATGGGGCTAGGGTCAAAAGGGTAGGATAGATATTTGGGATTGGTTGAAAGCCTATCACTAGTGGAGCTATGATTGCAAAAGATTATATCTCAAAGTAAGATCAATGACATCTACACAAACTCCATCGTCTATTAAAGAACTTCTTCCAACTACTCCTTTTAGTATGCCATAATGAATTCTTTCGACACCCGCAATTACATACACCATAAAGAGGACACTTTATTCATCTTTTTTTTTCTCAATTTCATTTCTTTTTTCTTTTTCTTTTTTCTTTTTTTTTTTGTATAAAAGAAGCAAACACCTACTTTCGCACCCCTAATCTTACATTTCATTGCTCACATAACCCGTTATATCATAAATTGTGCTCCACTAGCTTAGACAATGGGTAAGGGATACAATCGGATTTTGAAGGTTACATATGTGGGTTTAATCAACAAAATTAGGCTCATAGGCTCAAGGGGGCTAATCAAAGGGAACAATAGTGCATGGTAGGCTATTTGGCTAATGTGGACTATAAACAAAAATGTGCCTCAATCACCTTTTATGCATACAAAAGTTATATGTGGCCTTGAAGAGATTCAATGCAAGTTCTAGTTTCCTACACCATTGGAAAATATCACACAAGCAAAGAAAATAATGATTGGATATGTAATGCATCCAATTTCAGGCTCAAAATCTCACGGGTTTTATTTGTCTACCAAATTTAATTCCCCTCTTGTCTCCATAGAGTAATGGTTATGACGCTAGACACATAAATGCTAAATCCTATAAGACAAGAGAACATTCAAGTCCGGTTCTCCCATATTGTTAACTTGCAATCAAAAGCATTTTAGAATCAATTGAAAGATGTTATAAGAAGTTGTCAAGTCCCAATTAATGAGCATCTATCTAGTTCAATGATCGATAAAGGTTAAACATTCATGTCATCATCAGGAGATCATTTCCCTATTTTGTTTTTGTTTTGTTTTGTTTTTTTTTTTGAAAGGAGAAACAAAGCAAAAGAAAAACTAAAATAAAAAAAATAGGCAATTATAAACAGGAAACCAATGAATAAACAACCCACACCCCCAAGCTTAAGATCTACATTGTCCTCAATGTAATAAGATAAAAATTAGTGCAAGGGTGCAGAGGACATACCAACTCACTGGTTAGAACAGCAAATGCTTCGTCGGGTATTTCTTCCTCTCCTTTGACGCTTTTAGCCACTAAATTGGTTGGTCGCTCATAAGATTTATTCTGAACAATAAGCAACTCATCTTCAATGACATATCCAGCAACTTCAACAGGACTTATAACTTGGCAACTTCCTAAATTTGCCTCCTTACGCAAAACGAGGTCAAGTCGATTAAGGAGTGCTGATAAAAAATGCAGCTGAGTCGCCACAAATAATTTCTTCAGTAAACATATGCACTGCCCATTGATCAACTCCCAGCAATATTCCAAGATATTCAGCTGAAGGTTGCAACACTTGGTGGTATAGTTTGGTTCGAAGTTCAACTCGTGCCTCCAACAGACCCTCAAGCAGAGGCTCCACCATCTTGTCTTCAATATGTTCCAGAATAAATCTTAACATAGCAGGAAATCCAGATGTTCGAAAATCGACCATAAACCCTTCACCCTCAGCTTTATATCCCATGCAAGTTGCAATTGCAGACTCAAGATCAGCACCTGAGTGAACAGCCTTCAGAGTCCTCAACTAGTTTCCCAAATCACGTAAAAGGTCATCCTTCTGGTCACTCCTAAAATGTGGTTCTGAGTGAATAGCCCAGTCATAGCATAATAAGCGTTCCTTTGTTACACCAATTTTGTTCAAGCTGTCCCAGTAAACATTGACATCAAAGTCACTACTAACATAACCTATAAGTGCCTGACAAATTACCACAACATCAGGACTGGTGTTATTGTGTAGCTTCTGGTGCCCTTCCTCCATCATCTCACCTTGCAATCATTGTTTTTCTGCAGGAGGAGGGTAGAGCGGCTTCGGTTGTTAGATCTAGAGGAGGAGGCGTTTGGGCCGCAGTGGTGGTGATGGAGGGAGACGGCTGTGCTCCGGTCGGAGATGATGTGGAGGGTGAGGGCGGTGATGGTCGTGAAGGGTGGTCGTTGATTCGAAGAAAAGGTTAAACATTCATGTCATCATCAGGAGATCATTTCCCTATTTTGTTTTTGTTTTGTTTTGTTTTTTTGTTTTGTTTTTTTAAAGGAGAAACAAAGTAAAAGAAAAACTAAAAAAAAGGCAATTATAGACAGTCAATCAATGCATGAACAACCCACACCCCAAGCTTAAGATCGACATTGTCCTCAATGTAAAAAGATAGAAATTAGTGCAAGGGTGCAGAGGACATACCAACTCACTAGTCAGAAGGAGGTGACGGATGGTCTGTGATGGTGAAGATGGCGGCGGTTGGTTTGATGATCGGAGAGAAGGAGGATGGCCGGCGATGGTGGTGAAGGGTGGTCGCTGATGGGTTGTCGATTTGGGTTAGGGCAAAGGGGATGTGGTTATGTTGCTGGTTTGAAGAGTGGGTTTTTTTTTTGTTTTTTTACCAGCGACCCACGGGTGTGGGAGATGGGTGTGGTAGAGTCTGTATTTTTTTTCTGTGGACCGTCGCTGATGGGTTGTCGATTTGGGTTAGGGCAAAGGGGATGTGGTTATGTCGCTGGTTTGAAGAGGGGGGGTTTTTTTTTGTTTTTTTTTACCAGCGACCCACGGGTGTGGGAGATGGGTGTGGTAGAGTCTGTATTTTTTTTCTGGGGACCGTGGGTGTGGTGTACACCACCCTTGGGTGTGGTAGGCTCTGCCACTCCATCTTTAACTCCTTTTTCTGCAGTTTTTTTTCAATGTCTTCATTTCTTCACAACTGCATGATCAAAAATATTATAAGTTAAATTTGTGCCGATCCAATTGCCTAAAAAAAATAAAAATTAAAAAAAATGAAATTAAAATGAAATAAAATAAGATAAAAAAATGAATGAAAACTTGGGTTGCCTCCCAAGAAGCGCTTGTTTATGGTCATGAGCTCGACCCCTTTTTCTTTTAATTATCCGACGAAGGGGGATCTGAAAGGATATACGTGACCCCTTTCTCGTGTTGTTCCCCTACAATGTAGTGCTTCAATCGTTGCCCATTCACCTTGAAAGATCCCCTTGTTTCACTCTAAACTTCAACAACTCCACTAGGAAAAACCTCACGGATTTGAAAAGGTCCGGACCACCGAGATTTGAGCTTGCCCGGAAAAAGCTTCAAACGAGAGTTGAAAAGTAGCACCATATCTCCTTGATTAAAATCTCTTCGAAGAATATTCTTGTCGTACCATCGTTTAGTCCTCTCTTTATAAATGCGAGCATTCTCATACGAATCCAAACGCAGCTCATCTAGCTCATGACGTTGAAGCTTTCTTTCCTCACCTGCGGTCTTCATATCGAAATTTAGCAACTTGATAGCCCAATACGCCTTGTGCTCTAACTCAACTGGGAGATGACACGATTTGTCATATACCAACTTGAACGGTGTCATGCCTATGGGTGCTTTATCCTCTTCACAAGTAGAACCTTTTGGCTTTAACTTTAGACTTTCAAACTTTGCATTTCGAAATGGAGCAGTTGATGTTGATTCTAAAGATTGAGCATACACGACTACCTCCGGGTCTTCATCATTTATTGAATCGTCACTTACCAAACACTTTTCAAGTGGATCAGGTGAGTAATGGTTTGCAAGTTGCTCATGTGTAGACTTGTCAATCGTTAGAGGGAGTTTCATAGTATTACTTAAATCAAATTCTACCTTCTCCCCTCCAATATTTAGGGTGAGACTTCCATTTTTAACATCGATTATAGCACCTGCAGTAGCAAGGAAGGGTCTTCCTAATATAATTGGGATGTTAGAATCTTCTTCCATTTCTAAAATAACGAAATCAACCGGGAAAAAGAACTTACCAACCTGGATAGGTACATCTTCAAGTATACCTACCGGATATTTTACCGATCGATCCGCCAGTTGGAGTGATATCGTGGTTGGCTTCAAATCTCCTATGCCAAGCTTCTTATAGATGGACATTGGCATCAAACTTACGCTTGCACCTAAATCACACAAAGCACGGTTAATAGAGACATTACCAATAACACAAGGAATAGAAAATGAACCTGGATCCTTAAGCTTAGGAGGCAGCTTATTCTGGATGATAGCACTACACTCCTCAGTAAGGGCCACAATCTCGTATTCTTCCAACTTCCTTTTGTTAGATAGGATCTCTTTCAAGAACTTAGCATAATAAGGCATTTGAGAGATAGCTTCAATGAACGGTATATTGATGTGCAATTTTTTCAAAATCTCCAAAAATTTTCCGAACTGCTTTTCTAACTTAGCCTTAGCTAACCTTTGGGGAAAGGGTAGAGGAGGCTTATTTGTGTCTCTAACATCTTGTTATGCGTAGCTAGGGAATCCATCTTAGAGGCCAATTGTTTTACCACCTCATTCGTGGTTTGTTGTTGCTGCTTAAACTCTTCATTCAATTTTGATTGAGTCGTCACAAACTTCTCCATCATATTTTCCAAATTTGACTTTTGAGAAGGGAAATTGGATTGAGGAGCACGAAAACCAGGTGGACCAAAATTAGATGCAGGCATGGGATTTCCAGGTGGGTTTCTATAAGAAAAATTAGGATGATTCCTCCACCCCGGATTATAAGTGTTGGAGAATGGGTCTCCCTTCTGATTAAAGTTATTAACATAGTTAACTTGCTCATTACCAGAAGTATCAATGGATGGGGGGTTTCCTGATTAACATTGAAGTGCAGAATGACCCACATAGCCACATATCTCACATGAAATTGAAGTAGACGCCAAAGAATTAATACTCAAGCTTTCAACTTTTTTAAACAAAGCATCAACTTTAGAGGATATATGGTCTAAAGCATCTATTTCATACTTGCCTCCTTTTGATGTCTGAGGAGCACGCTCGTTCGCCCATTGATAGTGATTCTGAGCCATGTCTTCAATGAGAGTGTATGCCTCGTCTATTGTTTTGTTCATCAAAGCTCCTCCTGCAGCAGCATCAACAGTCATCCGTGTGTTGTAAGTGAGCCCGTTGTAGAAGGTGTGATTAATTAACCACTTCTCCAGTCCATGGTGAGGACACATCCTCAATAATTCCTTGTAGCGTTCCCAAGCTTCATAAAGTGACTCTCCTTCCTTCTGTACAAAGATTGTGATCTGGTTCCTCATCTGTGATGTTTTACTTGGAGGAAAATACTTTGCAAGAAACGCTCTGGACAATTGATCCCAAGTGGTGATGGACCCAGCTGGCAATGAGTGTAACCAAGCCCTAGCCTTGTCCCTTAAAGAGAACGGAAAAATCTGAGTCGAATAGCATCATTGGTCACTCTATTAAGTTTCAAAGTGTCGCAATACTCCAAGAAAATTGACAGGTGGAGGTTCGGGTCTTCAGTAGCACCTCCTCCAAACTGATTCTACTGAACCATTGAGAGCAGTGATGGTTTCAGCTCAAAGTTATTAGCTTCAACATTGGGCCTTGTAATGCTTGACTGTGTGCCTTGAGCATTTGGGGCTGCGAAATCCTTAAGAAGCTGATTTTGATCTCCCATCGTAGCTTGGCACGGATTCGTTGTAGCTATCAAGGTCGATCCCACAAGGACTAGGGTTAATTACCAAATCTCACGTTATTCGACTAGCTAAATCTAATGAGTGAATTAGAAGAGATGAAAATTAAAAGAAATAAAATAATAACTAATCAGGTGAAATTCAATATAATGAAGAGTCAGGATTGAGTTTTCACCACAACTTCGATGCTCAATGATGAATTATTTTAGTTCTCGGTGTTGGTTTAAACTAAAGAGGGTGAATTAGCCTAAATTAATCTAAAGCCTCTTTCAAGGTCTAAAGATCGTGCCTAATCAATCTCAATTAACCTACTTTCGTGGAATCAAGATTAAATTAAACCCATTAAGCTTTATGCTAATCCAAATCAAATCCCCAAGGAATCTAGCCTACTTTCGTGGTTCGAGCTCCCTGCTTAATTTCTAGAGATCCGGTATTAATCTTCACCTTTCAGTCCTTCAATTAATTACCTATGATTGCTAATACGGTGATCAAGCGAATCAATAAAATTAAAACACTAGAAATTAAGTTCAAAGATTTAAACTTTCACCAAGAACCTATATCAATTCATCATCAATCACCAAAAAGTTGGGTTCTTTCCCAATCCTAGACAAGAAATCTACTCACACATGATTGGAATAAGAGAAGACATCAAATAATTATGCAAATCAATCATAAGAAAAAATAAATCAAAGAGAGGAAAGAATTAACCCGTCTTTTAGTTAAAATCTTCAAAATAAGAACTTGCAATCCAATCTTCTACAAGAGATTAATGTCTTCCTTCAATACTTGAACCCTAGAATAGTTGCTAGTTGATGGCTAAAAGAACATAACAAAAGATATCCAAAACCCTAAGTCAAAACATCTATTTATATGTCCCTAAAAATCTGGAAAATAACTAATTCCCACGCCACCGGTGTGGTCTGCACCACACTAGGGTGTGGTAGGGGCTGTTTTGCTGATTTCGTGCTTGTCTATACAGTCTTTGGTATTTTGGCTATAACGTTTGCGTCCGACCTCGGAATGAGGTGATTCAAGTTGCATTGGAATCCTGTTGAAGAGATCTACAACTTTCAACTTTTGAGTTGTTATTGATTCAAATTTCATCATGGTCGAAATTCCAGTTCTTCATACTCGTGCATCCATTTTCTTCACGAACCATGCCTTCAAAATCTTGTTGTTGCTTCAAACTCTTGTAAAACTTCCAACGATCATCAAATCTTTCAATCTTGAGCCAATACCTACATATAAGAACACAAACAACAGCAGTATCCTCGATCTAAACACGAAATATGCATCAAACGCTCGTAAATCATGCTTGAAACACACTAAGATAATGTATATTTTACGTGTTTATCAACTACCTCCAGCCTTGAGCCCCTCCGTGCACTGATAGCTGATCACCTTGTAATAAATATCATTAAATGCATAATGGACGCTATCATTTCTCTATCCTCTATAGTCTTTATAACACATCAGACCATTTCGGCACCGTACGTCTCCAGTCACTTCACATTAAATGTGAAAGTGACTTCCCCTCCACTCGTCTGTCGACACCTGTAAAGCAGATGCTGACTTGGCCGTCAGCTCATACTAGGTCGAAGTTACCATCCAATCACTATAAATATGGTCACTATTTTCAGCATAAAGGTAAGATCTTTACCTCTACCTATAGTGTTTAAGAACTTTTACAGTTTAGTTACTTCTTTACTCAAGCAAATCACTAACTTGATCATTAGAGGAATAACTGGAGAACCCAACTCTGGCCTCTTATGAGTTTTACTTGTGCAGGGAAGAGTACCTCACTTCAAAATTAGACATTCAGAGGGTTAGAGGACCTCCGTCAACCAAATAGCTTCTCTCATTGACTGTTTGATATCCTCCAACAACATGTTACAAAATGTTCTTATAGGGAAAATGAATAAAAAAATATGTATATGTGCAATACACTCAGCCACCTTAGAATTCCTGACCTCATGGCCACCCTTCTGGACATGTTCCCTTATGATTCTGGGATCGATGGGAGTGGCTTGAGACCTAATGACCAAGGGTTTCTTAGTTTCAGCCTGAGGCTCCGTGACCTGTGAATCCCACTTCTTGGTCAACACAGCCAAGTTAAGTTCGAGCTCCTTCTTCTGGCGTTGAGCTGTTTCAAGACGAATCTAAGCTGCAGCAATGGTTGCCTTAGCCTCATTGATTGTCGCATCTTTCTCTTAGATAGCACCTTAAAGCTCTACTTGATGATTGTCAACTGATGTAATACTATCGTTCAATCCTTGAACTTTTACCTTGATCCGCTCCATTTCTGCACGAACAGATTCTCCAGCCTTAACAACGAGTTTTTAAGTGACGATGAAATTCAATCTCAGCTGTACAAAGCTCCTGTAGCTCTCAAAAGTGGGACTCAGCTTTGTCAATCGCTGTCTTGAAGGGTTCGGTATGAGCGGAACCGACAATTGACAATGAAAGGCCAAGTTGATCTCTTAACAGTTTAAGAGTGCAAACAGACAAGACTTTTTGCAAATGTAAGGCAGTCGCAACATTTTGGTTGAACAGTCTTACCAGACTCACCAGACTCTCCGTCAATATCTTTATCTCCACCTCGATTAAATCTTTAGGATCAGGAGATTAGAGAACTTCAACATAATATGAATGACATCCTCCTGTGGAGACCACCACTGCATCCGTGGTAGTTGGAGAGATAGTTGGCAAGACTTGTATCCGTTCATTACCTGACATGAGGTACGGTGCGAGTGGGACTAAGATGTTTGAAACATCTACAGTGTTGTTACAGATGTCACCATGATAGACGAGGCAGCGATCCTCACAACCATTGCCATGTCATCAGTATATCCACAGACGCAACTTCAATGCCCGTGGATGAGATCTCTGGCTCATCAAAAGTAGCTGTAGCCATGTTGAGACCCTATATAGTGAATCTCGCCAAAATAACTTCGTAAAATTTTACTAAGTCTCCAAAATTGAGAAAAGTCTAACTCAATTTTGTTCGAGACCTCACTGGGTGAACCTCAATTTGACCCTCGTCAATACAAGAAAGCCTGAGTTTTGCTTCCAAACACATTAACTCCATGCAGAGTTCAAGATCACATCAGAAGTAAAGTACTCAAAGATCAAGCATAGGAAGATGGATAATTTCAGGAAGCAGAAAGTTTATTTTTATTGATCGAAGACTCTATTACATGAAGGCAATATTCAGACTATCCAATTACAAGAGTGATGAGTATTTGTTGCTATTTATTACTGTAGTGTATTTCTAAAATATGAGTAATGTGACAGTAGAGCAGCATACATGAGCAACACCAAGCTATAGCCCGTACTCTCCGATCCATAGGATGGGAAAATAAGAATTTTCCCACAGTAGAGAAAACAACTCCTACTTACTCTTTCCTAAGCCCTATGGTAGGATATGAGGAGAGAGTTGTTGAACAAGAAATTCCCTCTTGCTTGGGATTGAAGTAGGCCAAGGGGAGAAAGCACTTCCTGCAGTCAAAATTTGACGATGGGCCAGAGCCAGCCACACGACGTCTAATTACAATCTAGGTTCATGTTTATGACACCTAGTTACTGCTAGAGTTCTCGCTTGTGGAGATCCAAGGATCCTTCTTCAATTGCCATTTCACTTACTGAACGGTATTACGAAGAGCGTGGCACTCGACGCTCCACCCATCTCTATCGCGATTCAACTTGCCCTAGGTGATCGACTGATTCTTGATGATCCATTTGAGTTTCTTTTTCTGTACCGTTAGCAAATCCGCCAAATGATGTAGTATGCGGAGCTCATCCTCTTGATTACCCTTCACTTGGGCAAGCTCCTGTAGGAGCTATTTTATTTTAGCTCCTCTATCGAGGAGCATCTCCGATCTAAGTGATGAAGACTTAGATATGTGGATGAAGAAGAAGATGAAGGCAATGAGAATAGAAGAAGAAGGCTACTATTTACAGCCTCTTTGAAATCTTAACTCCCAAAAAATCACATCTTTTAAGATTTGATTGGACTGGACAAAAAGACTAAAACTTAGCCTAAAACTCAGTCAAATCTATAGCGAATCTTGTGAAATCTTCAATCAAAAGATCTCAGCCAAAATCATGGTGCAAATCCAAAGGCGAATCTCAACAAACTTCACTAATAAGTGAATGTCACCAATCGACGAGTTTCGCCAACACAACACAGAATAAAACGAGTCTTACCAGGTAGCGAATGTCGCTAATCGACGAACTTCACCCGGCAGTCCAAAATTGATCGAGCTTCACTCATACCCAGAATCAGTCGAATTCACTGATTTCCCAAAATCGCCTCAACAACAGAAAAGGCGAACTTCATTCCAAGCATGGATTTGAACGAGTACAAGCATCATTGAACCTTCAATACAAATCTACTACCAAGGAAGCTACATTCGACAGGACACCTTTGGCAACCAAGGAGGCAAATGAAGATAAGTTTCACAAGACAATTTAATCCACATTTAACAGTACACCTCTGGCTATTTACCCAAAGTATTTCAATCCCAGCAACAAATTGAAACGTAGGATCTTGAAAACTTAAGGGGAGGGGAGGTCTTATAGACGGTCAAAATATACTTTTTTTTAGGCCAATGATCAGCTTAGATCCAAGAAGTGAATGCCCATGAGCTAAATACTTCAAATGGTTCAGAGTCAAGCCCATAACAAGTTATAGTAAAGGTCGCTTGATGATTGAAGCGAACCTTTCCAAACAGCCTATATCAACACGACTCGACCAAATCAAAAGTGAGTTAACTCCCAAAACGCTTCTCGACAGGCCAAGTCATCCCTTCTCGCCAGACAGCGTCCATTCTCTCTAGTTTGGGTCAAGAACTTTCAAGGCCAACAAAAAAGGAGGTACTTCTCTCCCTTCTCGCAAGGAGTCATCCATTCTTACAAGACTAAGTCTCCCCTTCTCGCTAGGCCAAGTCATCCCTTCTCGCCAGACCGAGTCGAAAGGCGTCAT